AGGCCTATGAGTGGGAGGCCCTGGAGCCCTGAGGCAGAGCCCACCATAGATGGGTATGCCTAGAATTCTAGGGCAGAGAGCTCGACTTTAAAAAAAATGAGTTATTATTATTGTGTACAGGTGGGCGTGAATGCCCACCAGGACGCATGTGTGGAGTGCAGCGGCCTGCTCTAGGAAGCTGCTGCTCTCCTTCCATCTTTATGTCCATCTTGGGGATTGAACTCAAGTCATCAGGGTTTGTGGCAATCCCTTTTTGTCTGCCTAACCAGCTAGTGCTCCCCTTCAATTGTTTTTAACTTTTTTTTTTTTTTTTTTTTTTTTTTGGTTTTTCGAGACAGGGTTTCTCTGTATTGTTTTGGAGGCTGTCCTGGAACTCACTCTGTAGACCAGGCTGGCCTCGAACTCACAGAGATCCGCCTGCCTCTGCCTCCCGAGTGCTGGAATTAAAGACGTGTGCCACCAATGTCCGGCTTGTTTTTAACTTTTTGTTAACTTTTTTTTTTTTTTTTGAGACAGAGTATCTGTGTAACAATCCTGGTTGTCTTGGAACTTGCTTTGTAGACCAGGCTGGCCTCGAACTCACAGAGATCCACCTGCCTCTGCCTCCTGAGTGCTGGGGTTAAAGGTGTGCGCCACCACCGCCTGACTTTTATTAACTTTTTATGTAGCATACAGAAGGCCCTGGGTTCCATGGTGGCACATGCCTATAATCCCAGAATTCGGGAGGGAGGAACAGATGCAGGAGGGTCAAGAGTTCACAGTTATCCTCACATATATAGAGAATTTGGAGGCCATCCTGGCATACACGAGACCCTGTTTTAAACAAATCAAAACACAATAACCCTCTTGATAAAAGGAGTGCTTACATGCCCCAAGGACGCACTTACCGCCATGTGGCGACTCACAGATTTCTGCTTCCCAGCTTTCCCACCCGTTTCCTCTCAGTAGCTGCTCAGATCTCCAGTACAGTTTTCACATGCCTTTCTGAGTTTGTTTTAATTTTCTTTTTTAATTGTTGAGCACAAAACCCTGCAAAAGTCACCCTGTGTGCCTGGGGACAGGAGTGAGGGGAACACTCAAAGAGCCCGGGAGGTTGATGAGGGTGTCCAGGGATTAAGAGGTCGGCTCCGGGATGTCCAGAAAACCCGTTTTCCTCTTGACCAATAGGAGATGATGATAGTGTAGGCCGGGCTGGGCATCCTGGGAGAAGGAGGGCTTGGGGTATTGGGCCTCTGTGAACTCAAACTTGGGTCAAAGATTGCCTGAGGGAAGATTCTGGGCTTGCTGGGACAGCCACCTCTTTACAGAAAAGTAGGTCCTTGGTCAAGCCCTTTTCTTCCCTGTGGCTAAGTTTGCTAACCTGAAGTGAGGATCAGCTAGCATCTGCCTTCCATGGTTGGTGGGGGAGTTTAATGAGTTGGTACCCGTGGTGAGGGAGCACTAACTCCTTATAAATCATTCTTAAGGTGCTTAGCACTATGTCGGGCTAGTGCTAAGTGTCACGGTACTGGAGGTACCATCACCACGGTGTTATAATGATCACTGTAATTGTCACCACCATATTTATAATCATCACCTCTACCATCATCATCATCACTATCTTGTCAGCGTCACCGTCACCACCATCACCACCGTCATTCCTAAATCATTCCGTCACCGCCGTCGTCATCACCATTATCATCATCATCACTAATATCAACATCACCACCATCACCACTGAATGGAAGAGGAAAAGGAGAGGAAATGACTGCTCCTATGCCTGGTGGAAGGTTTATTTATTTATTTATTTATTTATTTTTTGGTTTTTCGAGACAGGGTTTCTCTGTGGCTTTGGAGGCTGTCCTGGAACTCCCTCGGTAGTCCAGGCTGGTCTCGAACTCACAGAGATCCTCCTGCCTCTGCCTCCCGAGTGCTGGGATTAAAGGCGTGCGCCACCAACGCCCGGCTGGTGGAAGGTTTATTATAGACGTGTGGCCAGAGGCAGGGACATCTGGGAGAGTCCGGAGTGAGCTGTGCCATGTGAGGAGGGGGCGAGGGGGGCGGGGACCAGCTGCCGCAGGTCCAAAGGTTCAAAGACAGCAGGTAACCGAATTGTCTGGCTCACACAGGGAACAGCAGCCCGGTCCCCTGCTTTGGCGCTCGCTTCTCAGCTGTTTCTGCCACGGCTTCACGTTGTCCCATGGCCCGTGGTCCCGGGAGACCACAGAGGATGCCCGAGGAAGGGAAGGTGAAGGGAGGGTTCGTCTGTGCAGCTAGGGGGAAGTCAGCGTTCATGCTGGGGTGAGACTTGGTGATGGGGAGGCTGTTAGGGGGTCCCCCCAGGTCCTGTTAGTAACCCCTCCCTCTGCTCTACCAGTAGATCCAGTAATCCCTAGGCTCACCGAGATGACGTGAAACTGTGACTCAGTCTTCCTTTGGAGCCCTGTTTGGGGAGGGGGAGCAGGTGTTTATCTCTCTTGCCCCCCAAAAAAAGATTCATGCATCAACCATCACCGTAACTACCATTATCATTGGAGGGCCCAGGCCCTCACCCACCCCCCTGCTTTGGCAGCTATGACAGGCTGCAGAAAAGACCCAACAACATGTGCTGAGCCCCTGACCTTGCCCAATCTTGCCCTAGCCACTAGGAAGCGAGATACCCTCCATGTTGCAAGGAACCAATCAGGAGTTTGCTGGGGAGCTCTGGATGTGCTTTACTGATAGCAGTGGGATGCAGAGCATAGCAACCACCCAGGGAGGGCCTCTAAGCATAGCAACCTTGCTGCAGCTGCAGCTGACCAATCAACACAGGACAGGTTGCCCAAGCCAGGAGGGGCACCAATCCTGAGACTGTTGCTATGCAACTAGCAGACCCCCCAGACACTCCCCTTGCTCTACCCCAATATATTCCCTGCCCCACTGCTGCTCAGGGTCCCTCCTGCTCCACCCGCTGTGTGTCACAGACCTGAGTTCATTCCAGATAATTCATTGATTATAAAAACACTTTGCAGCCGGGCGTTGGTGGTGCACGCCTTTAATCCCAGCACTCGGAAGGCAGAGGCAGGCGGATCTCTGTGAGTTCGAGACCAGCCTGGACTACCAAGCGAGTTCCAGGACAGCCTCCAAAGCCACAGAGAAACCCTGTCTCGAAAAACCAAAAACAAAAAACAAAAAACAAAAAACAAAAAAAACCACTTTGCTTTTGCATCAGATCTAGTCTCGTGGTGTTTTTGTGGGGTTCAGAGTCTGGGCACAACAGGCACAGCAATCATTACCTTCATCCTCACCATCACCATCATCAACAAATCTCTGGGGATTGAGTTGGTAAGGAAAAAAGGGCTCTTAGTCAGGTATAGTGGCCCCCACCCACAATTTTAGCATGTAGGAGGTGGAGGCAGGAGGACCAGAAAGGAGCTAATCATCACCATTGGACAGGAGTAAAGAAAGAGACAGGGTTTCTCTGTGTAGCCCTGGCTGTCCTGGAACTCGCTCTGTAGACCAGGCTGGCCTCAAACTCACAAAGATCCGCCTGCCTCTGCCTCCTGAACGCTGGGAAAAGGCTGGGGCCACTACCGCCTGGCTTCCAGGGCAACTCTTAAAAGGGAAACCATTTAGTTGGGGCTGGCTTGCAGTTTCAGATGTTCAGCCCATTATCATCATGGTGGGACAGGCAGACATGGTGCTGGAGAAGGAGTTGAGGATTCTGCATCTTGATGCACAGGCAGCAGAGGCAACTGTGACACTGGGCATAGCTTGGGCGTAGGAGACCTCAAAGCCGCCTGCTTCCGCCCTCCATCCCTTCACCCCCCACCCTCCACGACACACTTCTTCCTCCAACAAACCCACACCTACTCCAACAAGGTCACGCCTCCTGATAATGTCTTTCCCTATGGGGACCCTTTCCTTTAAGCCACCACACAACGCCGGTCCCTATCTCACCAGGAGAAGTCCTGACACCGTGACTTGCTGTTTGAGGGGTTGGTATAGAAAGTCAATGCACAGAAACGGAGGGAGGGGGCTCTCTGCGCATCCATCACTCGCGCCCAATTAACACATATTTGAGCCTGGGATATGAAACAGCGGTGCGTGCGTGCCCAGGCAGAGAAAAACTCCCGGAGATAGTCAATTAAGGGGACAAAAGCCTCTTTAGCAAGGCCAGGCCAGGCGCAGAGTCAACCTCAGCAATTAACGTTGAAGGAGACTGGGAGGAGTGGGGGGTGGGGCTGGGGAATGTTACTGGAGGTTAAAGAATGGCCAAGTCTCGGGGTGCCAGCACCTCCAGGTGTGGGTCAAGGGCTCCACCCCCTGGGTTCACACCACCCCCAGGGTTTCGTCTTTGCGCGAGGTCCAGCATCTCAGCGGGGAGCTGAGGCCCGGACGACTCCAGGAGGCAGGAACGGCTGGCTTCTGTGTGGAGGTCGTCCACGGAATCCTGTCGTTGACACGGTGGAGTGATTAGGGGGACAAGGAAGGGGTCGGAAAAAGAAAATACTGTGTTTATTTTTAAATTTTCACCTATGTATTTGTTCTGGGTCACCAGTTATTCATTTTGCGGTGCGTGCCTTGTGTGTGGCTGCCTGTTTTTGCGTGCGTGTGTGCTTGTGACAGGCTCTCACCATGGTCTTGAACTGGCAATCCTCCTGCCTCAGCCTCCCCAGAACTAGGATTCCATGCGGGTGCTATCACCTTTAGCGCAGATTAGGAGAACCGGGTTGGAACCCCAAATCTTCCACTAGCCTGGGCAGGGCTAAAAGCATAGCGATCTGGCAGGGGCAAACTGGTTATATCTCCACCGACCTCCCCAGTTAGACTCAGCTTTTAGCAGCGACCGCCACTCACGTCCTTATCGGCTCTCTATTGGTCCGATACGCTATCCTCCCGCCCCGCCGCGCTTGTGCGGACCAATCGGATTCTCTGGATGACACGCCTTAGGCGCCCCGCCCCTCACAGGGCGCTTGCAGACGCTCCGGACCGATTGGCTTGCTCGGGAGGGAGGGGCGGACACGTCAGGGGCGCGGACCACGTGTCCAAAGCGGGCAAAAAAAAAAAAAAAAAAAAAACGGTGACCCAGCCCGGAACCTGGGAGAGTCCAGCGGCGAAAGTGCGCAGAAGGCACCGGTTGGAGGGGCTGGCTGGACTCGAACCTGGTATCTCCGGGTAAGTTCAACCGCCCCTCCTTGCAGACCGGGAAACGGAAGCCTTGCGGGGTGTCCGGCCGAGGCGGGACTCCAGTTGGTGTCCGGATGGACGGTCAGGGAGGGACTCGAACCCTCTCCAGAGCTAAGTTTTGGATCAGTGTCCGGGAGTGGAAGAAAAGGTGCCCAAAGAGGGGGTGAGGCCCACTCAGACTCACACAGCCTGCAAGTCTGGGTTCCGGTAGTGTGTGCGCTTGCCGAGTTAAAGTCCCAACCCTGTCAGCAGGAGGACACTCCGGACAGACACCCCCTCTCTTACACGCCCCCCACTCTTTCTCCCTCTCAGATCGGTTATTTTCTGTCCCAAACTCTCACCCCAGGTCCCAAGTCGTGTTCGTACCATCTTACCCAGCTGGCCCGAACGTTAAAAACAAAAATGATATATCTAAAGTTGTTATAAAGTTGGAATAGAAGCCAGGCAGTGGTGGCGCACGCTTTAATCCCAGCACTGGGAGGCAGAGTCAGGTGATTTATGTGAGTTTGAAGCCAGCCTGGCCTACAGAGCGAGTTCCAGGACAGGTTCCAAAAGCCACACAGAAATTCTGTCTTGAAAAGCAACAACAAAAACAACAACACAAAAACTGGAGTAGAGGTTGGGGGCATGGTGACACATGCTTGTAGTGCCAGCATTTGGGAGACGTGAGTTTGCCAGGAGACAGAGCCAAGCGCTGGAGGCCAGCCAGGGATACCTAGCGGGACCTTGTCTCTCAAATAAAAGAAGGTTGTGCAGTGTGTAACAGGTGTTCAGTGAGGAATAAACAGAAGACTTGGTCCCAAGTTAGCAAAACCAGCCTGTGGTGGTGTGGCCGGGGTCTTCTAGGGGAAGCTGGGGTCCCAGATGTCCACACCCACACCTGGCTGAGCTCGAGTCTTCTCACATGCTTAGCAGTCTCTGTGGATTGAACCACACGCCCAGCCTTCTTTTTATTTATTTATTTATTTTGAGACAAAGATCTACTAGGTTGGCCAGGCGAGGCTTGAACTTTGGATCCTTCTGTCCCAGCCTCCCGAGGAGTGGTTAGGACGACAGGCCCGTGACACAAAACCCACCTTATTAAAGTTGACGTATTTTACAGACAGGATGTATTACCCGAGACTGGGAGATGGTTTGCACGCAAGCATGAGGTCCTGAGTTCGAATCCCAAGGACTCATGCTGAAAGTCAGGTAGCAGTCTGGCCAGACTATCTGAATCTGTGAGCTCCAGCTTCAGTAGGAGACCCTGTCTCAAAAAAATATGATGCACAGCAATAGAGGAAGACACCGGACACTGACCTCCGACCTCAGCACACATACAAACAGAGCATGTTTCTCTTTAAGATTTACTTGTTATTTTTATTTATACGTGTGCATGCTTGAAGGTGCCCCACATGGAGGCCAGAGGGCACTGGATCTCCTAGAACTGGAGTTGCAGGAGGTTTTAAGTCGCCCTGATGTCGGTGCTGGGAACCTGGGTCCTCTCGTCTCTAGCCCATGGGAACATATTTTTTAGGATAGACACCTTAATGGATTGTGGGGCAGGTAGGACCAGGTCTCATAGTGCCCAGGCTGACCTCGAACTCAATGTGTAATTGAAGATGTAAGGGATCAGATCATCTCCTGCCTCCATTTCCCCAGTGCCAGAAGGAGGCGTGTCCCGCCATGCCCAAGGTATTTGGGTTTGGGGGTGGAGCCCAGGGTTCTGTGTGTGTTAGGCAAGCGTTCACCAACTGAGCTACAGCCCCTAGAGTGGTTTCTTATTTGTTTTTCGAGACAAGGTCTCTCTCTGTAGCCCTGGCTGTCTGTCCTGGAACTCGCTCTGTAGACCAGGCTGGTTGCAAACTCACAGAGATCCGCCAGCCTCTGCCACATGAGTGCGGGGATCAAAGACGTGTACCATCACACCTGACCTGAGAGTTTATAAACAGTATCTGTGTCCGCACCACATGACTTAAAAAGATAAGTGTCACTCGGCACCCTCCCCCTCGGTGTCCCCCTCTGTTGGGTCCCTCGGTGTCCCCCTCTGTTGGGTTCCCTCCTCCCTCGGGGTCCCCCTCTATTGGGTCCCTCGGTGTCCCCCTCTGTTGGTTCCACCCCCCTCGGTGTCCCCCTCTGTTGGTTCCCTGTGTCCCACACGCCACTGAATGAATAAATGGTGAACGAGTACAAACAAATCTACACACAGTGGGGAGGCGCCGCAGAGAAAGCCCAGGGGAACCCCAGTGATGTAGCAGTTTGAGGACCCAGCGTCAACATAGCCTCCCAGGAACACTGACTGACGCCTGCCACGGCTTTGGAAGCTCAGATCCCGTGTGGATGTACACACATGACACAGGCGAAGCCCGGATCCTAGCACACAGGTTTCTCTCTTGTAAAAGTGTCAAAGGGCAGGTGACTTTGCCAGCCTTGCCTCTTCTTTTCCTGTTTTGTTTGTTTTTTGGTTTTTATCCCTGGAGCCCACATAAAGATAAAAACCAACTCCTTAGAGTTGTACACACACACACACACACACACACACACACACACACACACACACCATGCACACAAGAACAATATAATAATTTTTTTTGACTTTTCGAGACAGGGTTTCTCTGTATTGTTTTGGAGGTTGTCCTGGAGCTCACTCTGTAGACCACGCTGGCCTTGAACTCACAGAGATCCGCCTGCCTCTGCCTCCGGAGTGCTGGGATTAAAGGCATGTGTCACCACGGCCCGGTTCTTTTTTTTTTTTTCCTTAAATTGGGGGAAAATATCTATAAAATTAGCCGACGCACTTATCTGGGGAAAGGGCCCATTCGGCAAAGTGCAGCCGTACAGGCATGAACACCACGTGGAAAGCCAGCGTTGGTTCGGATGCCCGGCGCTGATATAAAAGGCTGGGCATGGTTGCATGTGCTCGCTGCCACAGCATTGGACGGCACAGAGACTGGTTTCGTGAGAGACCTTGTCTAAGGCAGTAGAGTGAGGGGCAAAAAGAGGAAGACCCCGGATAGCCTGCTGCAGCCACACGGCCACACACCCTCGGTCATGCGCGCGCATGCGTGCACACACAAACATACACGTAATGGGACAGCACCCAAGGAACAACATCAGACGTTGCCCTCCGGCTTCCACAAGTGACATCCACCCCTACCCCCTCCACACACAGATACAAAGAGAAATGGCCAGGACAGGCAAAGCCACAGACTGACGGCCAGAGGACAGGGAGGGAGGGGTTTGAGGTGACTGGATGGATGAAGGCTTTCTACTTGCAGTAATGAAAATGCCCCATACCTTCCTAGCTAGGTTAATGGTGACGGGCTCACACACACACACACACACACACACACACACACACACACACACACACACACGAATGTGCCCCCTGTGCGTTTAAGTTTTATTTAAAACATTTTAATTCATTTTGTATTGTTTAATAGCCTTTGTTTTTTTATTTTTAAAATTATGACTTTATTTTATGACTATGGATGGCTTACCTGCATATATACCAGTATACCACATGTGTGCCTGGTGTCTGCAGAGGCCGGAAGAGGTTGCTGAGTCCCCTGGAACTGGAGTTACAGGTGGTTGTGAGCTGCTGCATGGGTGCTGGGAATTGAACCCAGGTCCTCTGCAAGAGCAACCAGTGTTCTTAACTGCTCAGCCATCTCTCCAGCTCCTTCACTGGCTTTTTTTTTTTTTTTTTTTTTTTTTTTGGTTTTTCGAGACAGGGTTTCTCTGTATTGTTTTCGAGGCTGTCCTGGAACTCGATCTGTAGACCAGGCTGGCCTCGAACTCACAGAGATCCGCCTGCCTCTGCCTCCCAAGTGCTGGGATTAAAGGCGTGCGCCACCAACGCCCGATACTTCACTGGCTTTTTAAGACAACGTCTTATTCTAGATTCCAATACAGAGAAACCCTGTTTCAAAAATCAAAAAAAAAAAAAAAAAAAAAGAGGCAGGGAGGGAGAGGAGGAAAAAGGAGGGACGGAGGGACGGAGGGAGCAAACCTTTGGCCAAGGAAAGGGGGAGAAAAGGCCTGGAAATAACAGCAGGAGCACGAGATGCATGGACCACAGGACCAAATATGTGAGCCCTGGGTGTGTCCTTGAAGCCCCTCTCCCTGCCGCGTTGTGCAAAGCTCCAGTGACTGACCTTACCGGGGCAGCAAGGGCAGGAAGACACCGCAGATACCCACTTCCGGTGGGACTGAGGGTTTGCTTTTCTTGACAATGGCCGTGCAACTGTCAAAAGTCCCCATTTCGCCGGGCGTTGGTGGCACACGCCTTTAATCCCAGCACTCGGGAGGCAGAGGCAGGCGGATCTCTGTGAGTTCGAGGCCAGCCTGGTCTACAGAGCGAGTTCCAGGACAGCCTCCAAAGCCACAGAGAAACCCTGTCTCGAAAAACCAAAAAAAAAAAAAAAAAAGTCCCCATTTCCTAAAGACTTCACTTGAATCCCTAGCCATCCCCGCCTGACCCTGCCCGCTGGCCCTCTGTCCACCCCTAGGAAATGGCAGCAGCCAGGGCTAGCCTGGGCCGGCTCCTCCCCGAGTCCTCCATCCTGTTCCTATGTGATATGCAGGAGAAGTTTCGCCCCAGCATAGCCTACTTCCCACAGATCGTGTCAGTGGCCGCTCGGATGCTTAAGGTACGAACTCCGGTCTTCCTCTCAAGACCCAGGGGTTCGGGCCCAAACCTTGCTCCCTGAGCCGCAGGAGTCCATCGGCCGGCCCTCATCCTTGGGATCCAGGCCTGGTTCTTTCCCCACACAGGTGGCCCGGCTGTTGGATGTCCCTGTCTTGCTGACGGAGCAGTACCCACAAGGCCTGGGCCCCACAGTTCCCGAGCTGGGCGCTCAGGGCATTCGGCCAGTGAGTAAGACATGCTTCAGCATGGTACCCACCTTGCAGAAGGAGCTGGATGGCCGGCCCCAGCTGCGCTCCGTGCTCCTCTGCGGCATCGAGACCCAAGTCTGCATCTTGGTGAGGCCCCCGCCTGCCCCCCGGGTTCCCCATCGGCGCCCCCGGCCCTCCCTCCTGCCCTGCGGCGCTGGCTGCACCTCCTCATCCTTATTCCAAGTCCTCCCTTCCCACTGGGGCTCCCTGGTCCCGGGCTGGAAGCCCTGGTCGTGCCCTGGGTCTGGACCTGGACCTCTCTCTGCCCTTAGAACACAGCCCTGGACCTCCTGGAGCGGGGCCTGCAGGTCCATGTGGTGGTGGACGCCTGTTCTTCTCGAAGGTGACAGGGCCTCCGTGCAGGGGTGGGGGGTGGCCCCTGCCCTGTGCGTCAGGCACACGGCAGCAGGGGGACGCCTGCCCTCCCTGCTCTCTCCCTCTCTGCTGCAGCCAGGTGGACCGGCTGGTGGCGCTCGCGCGCATGAGGCAGAGCGGGGCTTTCCTCTCCACCAGCGAAGCGCTCATCCTGCAGCTTGTGCGGGACGCTGCCCACCCCCGGTTCAAGGAGGTATGGGGTCCTCTGGGAATAGGAGAAGGATCCCTCCCGCTTGACAAAGGGTCTCCTGCGTGCCAGGCTGGCCTCGGACGCACGGTGTCTGCTCCCAAGTGCTGGGATTACAGCACCACTACGCCCAGCTGGCTTCTCTTTTTCCTTCTAGAGCTCTGTACAGGGGGGGCTTCCTATTTTATTTACAGGGTGTGTGGGTGTGTGTGGGTGTGTCTGTGCGCACATGCCACAGCATATAGATGGAGGTCAGAGTTCAACTTGAGGGAGTCAGTTTTCTCCTTCACTCCTAGGATAGAATGCAGATCAGGCTTGAAGACAAGTGTCCGAAGTGTCCTTGTTCACTGGGGAGTCTTGCTGGCCCTGGCCCTTTGTTTTTTTTTTTAATTTTTAAATTTATATTTTATGTGCATTGGTGTTTTGTCATGGGTATTGGGTCTCCTGGAGCCCCGAACAGGAGTTATAGACTGTTGTGAGCTGCATGTGGGCTCTGGGAATCGAACCCGGGTCCTCTGGAAGAGCAGTCAGTGCTCTTAACCACTGAGCCATCTCTTCAACCCTTGCTGTTGTTTTTTTAATTGTTTTTCCCACCGTTTGAGACACTCTGTAGGCCAGACTGGCCTCAAACTCACGGCCTGCCTCCTCCTCCTGAGCGCTGGAATTATAGGTGTGCGGCATTGCGCCTTACCGAGAAATAGTATTTTCTGGAAAAAACCCAGGTGCAGGGCAGGCTGGACTAGCAATGTTACATCAGGTAGGGTAGAACAGACAATCGTGACCCGTCAGGAGTTCCCTACCCCCAGCCCCCTGAAATCAGTAGCGGTTATCAACTGGGAAGAGTTTTTTTTTGTTGTTTTTGTTTTTTGTTTTTTGGCTTAGTCTGTCTGATATAAACCGATGAGGGCAATTACTCCTGTTCAACCAAGAGGTGATCTGTGCGAGTGGGTTGAGAGCTTGGACCTGTGTGGGAGCCGAGGGCTTAAAGGAATGCCGGGGAGGATGAGATTGGTGAGGGAGAGGAAGGCGTGGGCAGGAGGGCGAGCCGTCCATCATTAGCCGTCCAAGGCAACCATGCGGACCAAGACGGCGGGTGGTGAGCTCAACCAGGCAGGTGCGGCGGGAAGCAGACCCGAAAGGAGCGTGAAGAGCAGGGCGGGCGGGCGTTTGCAGGGTGCATACATATGTGTCTGCGCACGTGGAAGCCTGGGGCTGGCGTCTAGGCTCTCTCTCCCTTGATCGCTCTTCCTCCGCCTGCTACATGGAGGCGGGAGTCACACTGGGCCCTGCCCAGCCGGTGTCTATGCGGGCTGTGGGCGTCTGGGCTTGGGTCTTCGCAGCTGTACACATATTTTACACCGAATCGTCTCCCCAGCCCATTCCCAGGGAAACTCTTCTTTTTCCTTTTTTAAAATCTTAGTTTAATTACTTTAAAAAGATGTATTTATTATGTATGCAGTGTCCTACCTGCACGCCAGAAGAGGGCGCCAGATCTCACTACAGATGGTTGTGAGCCAGCATGTGGTTGCTGGGAATTGAACTCAGGACCTCTGAAAGAGCAGCCAGTGCTCTTACCCTCTGAGCCATCTCTCCAGCCTTCATTATCCTTTTTTTTTTTAAAAGACAGGACAGGACTTTCTATGTAACCATGCCTGCCTCTGTCTCCTCTGTGCCTAGTACTCGGGAGGCAGAGGCAGGCGGATCTCTGTGAGTTCCAGGACAGCCTGGCCTACAGAGCGAGTTCCAGGACAGGTTCCAAAGTTACACAGTGAAACCCCGTCTCAGAAAACAAACAAAAACTTGTTTCACTTTATGCATGTAGAAGCTTTGATGTATACATGTCTTATGTACCACATGTGCAGTGCCCAAGGAGTTCAGAACAGGGCACCGGATCCTTTGACCCTGGAGTTTACAGAGAGTTGTGAGCGGCCGTCTGGGTGGTGGGAACTGACCCCAGTTCCTCTGCAAGAACAGAAAATGCTCTTAATGGCTGAGCCATCTCCCCGGCCCCCAGGAAAACATTTTTTAGGAGAGTGGTGGGCTGGGGGAAGGCTGCCAGGAGGACCAGGGAGATGGGTGCTTCTTGACTTCTGACCCAGACCTCCTCTGTCTGTAGATCCAGAAGATCATTAAGGAGCCAGTCCCAGACAGCGGGCTGCTTGGCCTCTTCCAAGGTCAGAACCCCCTCTTGCTCAACTCCAGACCCTGACCTGAGAGGGAATCATCGTTTTCCCTCATCTCTGAAGCCCAGGAGTCCACCTGGAGGCCTGCCCTGTAAGAGGGGTAGGGTGGTTATGCCTCCTGCCTCAACAACTGGACTTGGAATTGCCGATGAGACTCCTGAGGGCTGGAAGGGGTGAGGGACCGGGGTTTGACTGAGGAAGGCAGGTGGGCAAGGGACTCTGTGCAGGGCCACCCCGTGAGGTCGCAGACGGGGACCCCAGACTCCGAATAAACATTGCGGTGGCTGTGCGGCAAGCCATTGTTGGGCTCGTGGGGGTGCTGCAGGGGCTCCTGGGGTGCTGCGGGGGCTCCTGGGGTGTGCAAGTGTGAGAAGAAAATGGGGTGAGGTGAGGAGAACGGGGGTGCCTCTCCCAAGCCCCAAGCCGGGGCTAACAGGCCACATCTGCGCAGTGGGCAGCGTGTGTGTCGTGAAGAGTTCCTGGCTGCCCCCGGCTCAGATGGTACCGAATCCCAACCCTGCTGGCTCGCCTCCTTGGCACGATAACTCTTGCAACCCCGCAGGCCTTCGAATCCAGGTTCTGCTACCCCGAGGGGGAGCTGGGCCCCCTTCACCACAGCGGTAGTGGCCTCTGACGGCCCCCATGACTAAACCTGGGAGAAAGTTTCCCTAAACAACTCTTTCTCCGGAAGAGCGCCCGGTCAGCTTCACAGCATCATGCAGAGGGCCAGAGAAGAGCCTGGAACAGCAGGCCGTGTGCGGCAGGGGCAGACTGCCTTCATGGAGCCCTTGAGTGAGCAACCCGTGAGGCGATGGAGGGAAGCCCAGGTTGAGGTGGACACCAGGCCGTTGAGGATGCCCTTGAGACAGATGCGCTGTTTTCTCAGGGGAAAGTCTGTCACAAGAGCTGGCCATTTTACACCTGGTACCACTCTGAGCAGGTAAAACAAGAGTTACAGGAACACCAGCACCATGACACTGGCCCAGTCCTTCTGGTAACTGAGACGGTTACCGAGTCATTAACGGGGGAGTAGCATATACAGCATGGATACAAGAACTTGTTCCGAAGCAGTGACAAGTGGGGGCCCTAAGAGTTCATCATCCCACTCAGAATGGCTTGCAGATGGAAATGAATGGTTTATTTCCGGAATTTTCTGTGCGGTAACTGAAGACCAAGAGTGATTGTGAGAACTAAAACTCGCAACGGAGCCCTTAGATTACATGGAGAGGTCTCGTACGCCATACCCCTCAGGACGGAGCTTGCAGGTCGTAGGTGCTGCTGGCCTTGGAAGCCTAGGACCGCCACGGTCATAGGCTGTGGACACGTGACACCCCAGAGAGGGTGTTTTTGCTGAAGCAGCACCCTCTCCCCCACGCTATATCGCTGTACCCTGGGTCCCTCAGTGCCCCTCCCGAGCTGGTATTTCCTCATTCGCTTGTTAGTGGACGAGTCCTCCCAGATTCCCCAGGGACAATCTCAATGGCTGCCGCACCCTCAGACTCTACTACACAAACGTGTTCAGGAGGTTGGTTTTTTTTGTTGAATAACTGAATTTAGCCCCCCCCCCCCCCCCGCACACACCTCCCCACATCGTTGTGGGGACTCAGGACGAGGGAAGGGAAACTAAGTCTGTGTGCAGTTCCTTGAACCATAAAGCCAGCAGGCACCCAGCCCGAGCGATTCAGGGGCACTGGCGCCCCCTCGTGGAGCAGCCCCAAGCTACAGGTCCTGCCAGGCTTGACAGAGCAGGCATCACAGGTTGTGAGTTTCTGGGAGCCCAGATTGGAAGTCAGCTTCTGGGGGCTGGGCTGGAAAGAGGACGCTGCCCTAGCCACAATACTGGCTACCCATGGCCAGCATCGAGTCTGAGCCCGCCTTCCAACCCTCCAGACGTGTGGACCCCACTGCCCGCATCTCCTTAGGGAGGAATCCCAGGCCTCCCTCTGGGGGCCCGAGAGCTTGAGGACAGCAACCCCAGGCCATCTCCCAAGCCCTTGAAAGTGTGTCTAAAACAGAGACACATGGGCATACACACAGGAAGACGGGACCTGCCCTGATCGGGACAGAAAGACTAGAGAGCATCTGTGGGGGAGGTGTGACCACGCAGGCCTGCGATTCCAGCACAGCCAGAAAATCCCCAAATAAAAACTAGGTCCAGGGCTGGAGAGATGGCTCAGTGGTTAAGAGCACTGGCTGCTCTCCCAGAGGACCTGAGTTCAATTCCCAGCACCCACATGGCAGCTCACAACTGTCTGTAACTCCAGTTTCGGGGGCTCCAACAACCTCACATTCATGCAAACAAAACACTGATGTATGTAAAATACAAATGAATTTAAAACAAACAAACAAACTGAAGTCCAAGTTCTCCCCAACTCTGTGGTGGCCTGGGTGTCACCTCCCTCTACACCCTCAGAACCTCCCAGCCACACTGGCCTCCCTTAGTTCCCCTCAGAGTCCCACCTCAGGGCCTTGGGTGTGCTGTTTCTGCTCCTGGACCCCCACGCCTTCCTACAGCCTGTCTCTGCTCAGCATCGGAGCCCTTCCCTGAAGGCGCCATGTCCGGTAGCCACACTTTTCCTTTCTGTCCCAGCAAGACTCTGGAATTTCATCTTGCTGTGGAAGCTCTCTGAGGGCTCTTGCATGTGCGCGCACACACACGCGTACACACACACACACACACACACACACACACACACACACACACACCCCTACTGGAGCTCCACGAGCTGGGCATCTGGTCTACTTGGTCTGCCCTGGACCTGGCCCATAGCCGCGCTCAGCGGAACTGGGGGACTATTGAGAGAGAGCCGACACACCAGGCAGAGGAGAGAGGGGTGGGGTTGGGGGACGGGAGCGGTGTGTGCTGGGATGGGAGAAAGGTAAATTCATGGGCAGGGACGGCAAGGGGTCCTCAAAATGGACCTGGGTAGCCCTGGGGCTGGGAGCAGAACTCTGGGCTGTGGTACACAGTGAGGGGTCTGGGATTGGTTTATTTTACAGAGTTACTGGTTCTGACGCTGGGACCCAGGGCTTCCTGGTGTTAGGAGAGCACTCCACCAACTGAGCTGTATATCCTCAGGTCCCTCAAGAGGGGAGAGTTCGGTCAGGGCTGAGTTATGAATAGGTTTCATAGGGTTCCCCAGGCATCCAGGATGCCCTGAGGATCCCAGGCACAAGGCGCCGCCTCCCAGCTGTCCACCCAACCCCAGCCCAGAGCTGCAGGCTCCGGGCTTCCCCCGTGGGCATTCTGGGGAGGAGGCAGGGGATTGGGGAACCTTGGAGGCTGCATCGGGGTTGGCTGTCTCTGGTCTCCTGGGCCCGGGGCTTGAGAGATGAATTCAGATGCCTCCTGGAGAGCAGTAGCAGGGAGAGCCTGGCAGAAGGGGTCGGGGTCCACCAAGGGACACTCTGCAGGAGCGAGCAGAATGTCATCAAAGAGGTCCAGGGTTGTGGTGTCCAGCGCGGCTAGGCTCAGGCTGGGGCCGTCATCGTTGTGGGGCGCTTCCGCAGGGGCCTCGGCACAGGCCACACCCAGGAAGGGGGATGGAGGCGGTGGAGGTGGCCTTCGGGGTGATGGTCTCTGGGGAGGTGCTTTCTGAGACAGGATGGACAGGGCTAGGTGCTGGGTGGCAGCTTCAATCTTGGCAAACTGCCTGGGGGGGGAAGGGGAGGGAGAGAGAGAGAGAGAGAGAGAGAGAGAGAGAGAGAGAGAGAGAGAGAGAGAGAGAGAGAGAGAGATTCAGCTTTGCCCGCAAAAGACCTCTTTTCTAATTATTCCGCGATTCACCCAGAGGTACACGTCTCTTCTTTTCAAACCCCCCCCCCCCGGTTTTTTCTCTCCTTCCTGCTCCTTTCTTGGCCCCGGGCTCATCTTCCCTGAGCCCAGGGAAGTTTCGATTGCTGTAGGGCTGTGCACTGCACGTCTCCACAGTGAAGATTTAGCGTAACCCTCTTCCGACGTATGAAAACGAACGGTCCGGGGGGAGGAGCGCCCTCCCGATCAGTGATTGATTGCAAAGGGAGCCGTGGCGCCATGCTGATGGCTGTGCACCCTGCGTTCTGCCCACTCCCTTGTGCCCCTTGCCACCAGCTAAGGCACCCGTCTCTCCTGGCACCTCCACACCCTCAGCCGGCACCCGGATGGCCTTCATAAGCAACTGGGGCTGGATCGTGTCCCCCAGATGCTTCTATTTCTTTTCTTTTTTGGGGGGGTTCGAGACAGAGTTTGTCTGTATTGCTTTGGAGGCTGTCCTGGAACTCGCTCTGTAGACCAGGCTGGCCTCGAACTCACAGAGATCCGCCTGCCTCTGCCTCCCGAGTGCTGGGATTAAAGGCATGCGCCACCACCGCCCGGCTAGATGATTTTATTTCTAAGAGTTACATTGTATTATTATTTTAAATAACTTTATTTTTAACATTTATTTATTTTCCGTGTGTGTTTCTCTCTCCTTCCTGCCCCTCTCCCTACACCACACAAGAAGGTCAGAGGACAGCTTTCTATGGATTTCTGGTTTTAAACAACAACAAAATCTTTAATGTGTATGTATCCATGGGAGTGTGCCTGGTTGCCTGTAGAGGCCAGAGGAGGGCTATAAGTGGTTGGGAGGCACCTGGCGTGTGTGTGTGTGTGTGTGTGTGTGTGTGTGTGTGTGTGTGTGTGTGCTGACACCTGAACTCTGGCCCTCTGGAGGAGCAGCAGGGTGTTATAACCACTGAGCCATCTTGTCAACTCCGCTCCTGATAACTGACTCAGTATGTGAGGCTTGGCCAGCTGGCCCACTGTGGTTAATCTGTGTATGTATTTCTGCGGGACTGAATGTGGGTCGGGACGGGGAACCCAGAAAAGGACCACTGAGGAGGAATGAGGCTCTCAGGGAAGGACACGGGGGGGGGGGGTAACAGGGCGCCTGTGATGACTGTGGGCAGACGGGTACGAGGGAAGGTGGGCCACGGAGATGGGGAGAGGAACCAGGCGATGGGATCATCACCAACTGAACGTGTGAAAATGCCGTGGGTGGGGCTGGCGAGATGGCTCCGTGGTTAAGAGCACAGGCTGCTCTGATAAAGGACCTTCACGTGAAGGCTTACAACTCCAGCGCCAAGGGAGCTGCTGCCCTCTTCCGGCCTCAGAGGGCACTACATGGCGTGTGGGGGCGCAGACACACACGCAGGCAAAACATTCACGTACAATAATAAAATAAGCCGGGCGTTGGTGGCGCACGCCTTTAATCTCAGCACTCGGGAGGCTGAGGCAGGTGGATCTCTGTGAGTTCGAGGCCAGCCTGGTCTACAGAGGGAGTTCCAGGACAGGCTCCAAAACAATACAGAGAAACCCTGTCTCGAAAAACCAAAAAAAAAAAAAAAAAAAAAAAACCAAAAAAAAAAACAAGAAATACACTACCTCAAAATAACAGCAACAGCAACAGCATGTGTGTACACACACACACAAATCCGAAGAATAATTATTCCCGTAGGCTTGGGAATGTAGCTCAGTTAGCAGCGTGCTTGCCCAGCTCGTACAAATCCCAGGGTCAGATCCCAGCACTGAGCACACTGGGCGTGGCGGTGCGCGCCTGAATCCCGGCCCTTGGCCTGCGGAGTCGAGAGGATCAGGAGTGTGCTCACTGTGAAGGGGCACTAACTTGTCGTGAGTTAATAATCGCCACCACCGTCCTCATCAGGGCCACCGTTGCTATTACCACTATCATCGTCGTCACCACCAACGTCACCACCGTACCATCACCATCATGGTCATCAGCACCAACACCACCTCACCATCACTGTCATGACGACTGTCACTGTCACCATCACCATCATCACCGTCATCACTGTCACCATCGTGGTTATCAGCACGAACACCACCATGACAGTCACTGTCATTGTCACTGTCATCACTGTCATCACTGTCATCACCGTCACTATCGTTATCACCGTCACCATTACTGTCATTACAACCATCACCATCATCACCTTCTTTTTTATTATTTATTTTTTTTTTTTTTGGTTTTACGAGACAGGGTTTCTCTGTATCGTTTTGGAGGCTGTCGGTCCAGCCTGGCCTCGAACTCACAGAGATCCGCCTGCCTCTGCCTCCCGAGTGCTGGGATTAAAGGGGTGCGCCACCACCGCCCGGCAAACTATTTCTTGATTGCACTGTGACATGCAATGGCAAATGGATTGTGTACAACAACAGACAATGGCCAGCACAGCAGCTGGACAGAGGAGAAACTCCACAGCCTGTCCCAAAGCTAACATGGGGCAAAAAAAAAAAAAGATCATAAGTCAGTGTTCAGTGATCTTCAGCCAGTCTGATCCTCTAATATGTCGGCCATATTCACCTGACCTCTGGACAACTGACTGTCACGTTTCAAGCATGTCCATATAAGGTTTAAACATTTCTTTCTAATTAGATGTCAGGTAGGGGTGTGTGTGTGTGTGTGTGTGTGTGTGTGTGTGTGTGTGTGTAGTTGCCCATGGGGTCCAGAAGAGGGCTTCAGATGTCCATTGTAGGTGGTGGGAACTCAATTTGAGCCCAATGGAAGAACAGTTCTTCTTCTCAACACTTGAACCATCTCTCTAGTCCCTCCAAGCTTGGATTTTTACACTACAGGAATAATAAATAACCCTTATTTCTCTTTGGCAAAAATGGGTTGATTGCTATGGTTCCTGTTTGGAGTAAAAAAAAGACATGACTTTTTTTTTAAGTGTAAAAACCATACACTTAGCTGGGCATTGGTGGCGCATGCCTTTAATCCCTGCACTCGGGAGGCAGAGGCAGGAGGATCTCTGTGAGTTCGAGACCAGCCTGGTCTACAAGAGCTAGTTCCAGGCCAGCCTCCAAAGCCACAGAATAACCCTGTTTCGAAAAAACCAAAAGAAAAAAGAAGAAAAAAAAGAACCATACACCTACTAAAGGAAATCTTAGAATACCATGTATAGTGGTATTTCTCAACCTTCCTAATGCTGTGACCCTTTAATACAGTTCCTCACGTTGTTGTGACCCCAACCATAAAATTCTTTTCGTTGCTACTTCATAACTGTAATTTTGTTGTTATGAATTGTAATGTGAATATGGGATAGGCAGGCCATCTGACATCTGCTACCCGAGAAAAGGTCTTTCCGCTCCCGAACGGGTCAAGGGCCACAGGTTGAGAACCGCGGATGTAGGGAGCCTCTTGAAAAAGTGGCAGTCGGTTGTCCAGACGTCAGGTGAGCATGGCAGATGAGACAGAACCTGACAGCCCAATTCCACTTTTGAAAGTCGGATGTTTGATGAACCTACTTATAATAATTTAAAATACATGGTTCAAAAGTTCCTTTCCTACCAACCTAACAACGCACACACCTTCCCATCAATCGCCTGCCACGCCCCCACCCCCGCCTTTTGGACACAGGATCTCACTATGCAGCCCAGGATGGCCTTGCACTTCATATACAGACCAGACTGGCGTGAAACTAGAAGGAATCCTCCTGTGTTGGCCTCTGTAGTATTGGGGTTACAGGCACGGGCCACCACACTGGACCAGTGTTCACTGTCTTGCACAACCAATGCCTCTAATTAGCTCTAGGACTTTTCCATCCTCTCCAAAGGGACCTCTTACCTGTTAACACTGCCTCTCTATCTATCTCAAGCATGCCTGGCCCCTTTGTGGGGCCTCCGTCTTCATGGGATCCGGCTGGATAGCTGAGACCCCCTTTCTCCTGAATCTCCTTTTCAAGGTACATCCGCACGGTGGCGCCATCCGCTCTCGTTCATTTCTTTTTTATTTATTTGTGAGGCAGAATCTTATATCTAACCCGGCTGACCTGTTGCATGGTACAGTGAACTGGCTGCAAACTCAGCAATCCTCCTGCCTCGGCCCCAGGAGTGTTAGGATTGCGCTCGTGTGCCATAATGCCTGGCTTACATACTTATTTATTCGGGCCATTCCATCCTGTCTGCCTCCCACAGGGACTCTGTGTAGGTTGAAGAGTTTTTTGGCCTTGCTCAGTGGTGTGTTGAGTCCAGGGCACAGAAGGTTCACGGTGAATACGCGCTAACTGGTGCTAAATCCCGCCTAGGAGCCTCCTGGCTCCCACCCGGTGCCTCCCCTCATAAACCCCTCCTCACCTGCAGATCTGGTTGTATAGGAACCTCCGGTGATTGGGCCTGCGCTTGGGGGGCCGGGTACGCCTGGGCTGCAGGGCCCGCAGCATGTGGGCCGAAGCCCCGCTCACAAAGGCACACAGCTCTCGGGGCCCTGGCTCAGAGACCCCAGGGGCGGCAGGGAACCCAGGGTGCATGGTCGTTTGCGCTGCAGTCACAATGCAGATCAGAAATCACACACCCCCAAACCCGAGCTGGGACGTGAGCATGCGGACTCAAGGCCTGGCATTGCAGAATGAGAAGCCACCCTGGCTGGCAATTAGGGTGAGCCTCACGCTGTGCCAGTCCCACTACAGACGCTGGACACCGATGACCGGTGACTGCAGGTGAGGGGTTATAATAGGAAGGCGCGGCATGGGGAGGGGAGGGGGCGCTCTCTGCATCTCCTACACGCCCAATTAACACATAGCTGGGCCTGGGATATGAAACAGGGGCGCGTGGGTGCTGAGACGGATGAAAGCTCCCGGAGATAGCCAATTAAGGGGACAAAAGGCTTTTTAGCAAGGC